CATACTTTTAAGCAGTTTCATAATACTTCAAATTACATCAACTGCAGTTAAATCAAAAAATTCATTACATGGAATCGAACATTTAAGTGCATGTGCAATGTTAAGCACGAAAAACGAAGTTGTTCGTTTTTCGATAAAGATCATTCCATGTGCAATATCAATATTCATATTTTATTTATCAATTAATGATTTACTTTCAGAAACCTCTTAAACGGAAACGTCAACAGTGTTTAAAATAACACAAATACCAATCTATATCAGAAGATTTGATTAGAACGTATCAATGGAAATGCATATTGCTTACCTATCGAGTATCAGATAAATCTTTCGACGCGACAGTCAAGCGAAATGTCAAGACCCAAGTTTTCATGAAGCACATAATTCCATTGCATAGTTTTTGTGAAACCGTTACGCGGTTCTTGTAAAATATTAAAAAGTAATTTAAATTCTTTGTCACTTGAGAAACGAATCACAAATGATTGGTACGATGAACGCTAACTGTAAGATATCTGCTTGTTCACTTTCTAATTTAATACTATTACAAGCATAGACAACTTCATTGGTTTTGACTATATTGTTGGCGTTATCATACTTGTGAGAGATTCATTCATCTGATGAAATGTCATGCTGTTCTAATATCGAAAAAAAACAATAATGTGATAGACTGTTCGATGAGATGCATTGAAGTGTGCTTCTACAATAATTGAATAAAATGAAGCGTTATTAATGTGACCAATAGTATTTCGTTTAATATATGCACCTAACAGTTCGATAAATTCTTCGTGTGATTGCACATCCAAGTACGATATCTATGTTTTAACATTTCATCGCATCATGAGAATTGTGTCTAACTTAGAATGACATTTCTTTTGATTAATAAAGATGAAGCTTCCTTAGGCGAAAATAATCATCGAATATTTTAATATGTTCTCATATATAAATTCATCAGTTTGATAAGATTACCAATATTATAAATAAAAAAAGGGAAGAAAACCGTTAAAAGAACTATGAAAAGTAGCCAATCGATTTGCTAGTATTATTTTTAACGATAAGTAATCTACCTATGCACAATAATTCTTTTAAAATTATATATTAAGAATAGTATGTACTAGATTTGGTTTCACTTTTTGACATAACATGGGCGCATATAAGATTTATTGTGGATAAAAATGTCGTCAATCTTAATGAAAACAATAACATCCTTGCTTTGTTTCATATATCAAAATACAAAAATAAAGAAAAATAATTGTGTGCTGGATACATCAGTTTTGATATTGAAAAAAAATCGCTAAATCGTATATGATGAATTTGCATCATTCTGTAAAATGGAAAATGACTTATAACCAACTTTTCCATGTCTGTCAGCTTCAGCAACAGATTGTTTGACTTCGTTGTGTTCCAGTTTTTGATTTCACTCAAAATGTGTACTCGTTGTTGTACGAAGCTTTTTCTGACGATTGATCTATGAAATTCTAAACAAAATTTCGTTCAGCATTATCAATCACTTAACTGCTCAATCGAGAAAAAAATAATGATAAAACCTTTTCGATGAGATGAATTCAGAAAGATACTTTGCAACATATTCATAGATAATAGTTACTTTCGATAGAAATACATCAAAAGACAAAAAATCTTTATTAAGATTCTGATATATAATTCATTTTGAAACCAATACCAGAAAGTATACAAGTAAAGTAATGCTATAATTAGCTGATGAACAGAAATCTTCCATCATAAATACCTTCGACTAATATCAGTTCTTCAATTAAATTAAGATCTGTACAAGCAAAACATCGAGTTTCTGTATAAAAGTATGATAAACATTCGATTGCAAATTCAATCACATATTTGCTATCAGCAATTAACAGCACGTGCTGAAATGATAATGATATACTGGTGTTGACATTATTATTAGTAGAGTAAACACTAACACAGAAATAGAATAAAGAACATTATTATTTCTGGTTTGATTTATAACGGTGGAAAACGATTTTATTACATTATTGTTATTTTGGTGCTTGACAATAGAAAATATAATTTCGACTTAACGCGCATTATTTTTTTTAGAAATGTAAAACCAGAGATTTCCATTTATACTCATAGTAGGTTTCCTAAAAAATATCTTACATATTTACAAAAGATAAAATCTAGAAATATATCTTCAGACTAATGAAGAAACGCTATCTCATGCTGCTGAACAGATGGATTTAGTTTAATGAGAGATATCGTCTCTTTGACCTTTCAGTTGATGTCTTGCTTATGGAAATTAGCCTACATTCAATGAAAATCATTCTTAACATACTTAAACAATTCGAATATAGTTCAAAAGTAAAAAGAAATTCTTTTATTTATTAATTAACACTCCATTATTTGTTTTAACTGTTTGCATGGTTGTTAATTGTTGATCAGTTCTTATTAAATCCATAAATTTTTTGAAGCGTCTTCCACGTTGTTTCGTCCATAATTTCCAATCATTCATAGCAAGTATTTGTATGACATTTTGTATGGCACTTGATAATGTAAATACAACTGTAAATAATGATGTATCATTTGATGTAAATGAATTTGCATCAAATAAATTATTTTGTTGTTCTTTGCTTGGTAATGAACAATGTATAATTGGATATTGCGAATTTGATGATAAAGACATAGCAAGACCATTATTTATATTTCCAAGTGTAACAAAAACAGTTGGTCGGCAATGTTCATATGAATAGTTAGATAAAAGTTTTAGCACTGTTTGCGAAGATTTAAATACTGACAAAAGACGAATATCACATTGAATATTATATATTTCATTAAGAGTTGTTTTTATTTTTTGTCCATGTTCAATATCATGTACTGATGAACAAACGATAATACAACGATTTGTTATTGTTGGTGAAAATGATATCGAATAGATACTTAAGGATAATTTATTTTTATCTATATCAATATAATCATCTTCAGGAATAATATTCGTTTGTTTTTGGTTATCATTTTTATAATTTGAAACTATTTTCGCTGTTAATGATTTATTGATATTTAAATCAAGTATATCTCTTAATGCATTGTTTATCCAAATAAGATTTTCTTGAATCAAATCATTTTCAGTCGAAGTCATATTTTCAAGTGGTCGTAATATATGCCATGTTTCAACATCATATATATTTGCAACAACAATTTCTTTTATTGTTGTAGTTGTTATACCAAATTCAATTTTTAAATCAATTAATTGACAATTCTTTTCAACCATCCATACATGTTCCAGTATATCAAATACAACACAACATATTTCGTACATATATTCAATATCGGCTTTTGAAAGTTTCAAATTTTCAATAACAATATTTGTGTTAAGAAGTTGTTCATAAGACCATAGTGATGAAATACATTCATCTAAATCCGAATCCTCATCATCATTTAATTGATTTTCACGATCTGATTCAAGATTTTCATCAAGACTTCCTAATGCTGTGCGTCTGTAAACAATTGGATGATGTTTATCATAGATTTCAATAATTGGTGGAATAAAACGGTGTCCATTTATAATTTCAGGATTACGTTTAACGTATGTTTCATTAGCTATACGACGAATAATCCATAATATTGGTATCATAGTACATTTTTTTGCAATAAATATATCTGGTTGAGTATGTGAAGCAACATAAAATGTTGGTATAGATGCTTCACGTAAGATTTCATAAACACACGTTGTTATAGAAGTTGTTAATATACCTTTACTTGTAATGTGACTGTTAAGATTTGAAGCATTATTACGATTTTGTTGTTGATTATTTAAACGATATAAGCCATCAGAACTTGATCGACGACTACCAGAAATACTTAGTATTGAATCTGATGAATCATAATAATCTTTACGATGAATACAAATAAGATTAGGTTGATCAATTACTGAGTAAATTGCTTTAGATTTTCCTTCATATAATTTTTGACCGAGTATACCGTGTAAAGAAGATAAAGTCATTTGATGTATTTATTTATTTATCTAACAGTTAACATCTTTATTTTACATTGTCAAGTTTTTGTTTCTGACCTTCGATGAGAGCTCTATCATTTAGTTATACTATAATGATAATAAAACACACAGTTGTTGAATACATATAGATAAAAGAACTTTGTCTTTCTGCTTCCTTATCGACCTTCGTTTTGATTATAGTCAATGCGTTTTGGATCGTCGGTTAATTGATTTGCCAGTCTGTGTCCTCGTTGTTTGTACAAATAACTAATAGACCAGATGTAAGGATAAAAGGTTAGAAAAAAAAACTCCACTTGATTAGCACTTATTTAAAACATTTCTCTCATGGTTTTTTTTTCAATCAGATATTTTCTTATTTTATAATATATTAAACAATTAATTTTAGAACAAATAAGAAAAAGTGAACGTATTTTATATTCATATTCTAAATATTTTAGCATTATTTGTTCGTTGTTGTACAGCAAAGATAAACCTTGCCATGTTCTTGAAAAAGAAAAAAACAGTATACATAATCGAAACATCTGGTAACCACCAATCCATGAGTTTCTTATTTACAAAAAATCTCTTCAGCATTATTTAGTTAGATTTTCAATCTGCAAGAAATACTGAGATACCAATTCCATTACTTCAACATCAGATAATAGAATTCAATGTATAGTCTTTGAGTTCCCGTGATGAATTTTAAGGTGGGCGCCAATGGCAATCACTTCTCCCCTTCAAAATGTGTTGCGACTTTTCTCAACACAAAAACGCTCAAAAATGAGTAGGCACAATCTCTAATGACTTCAAAATACACTTGATGACCATGATTATCCGACGTTCCCAACATTCTAGATTCAGCACTGTTGCGTTCTGTATTACAAATTATTTCTTCAACAAGAGATCTTTTCCAGTGAAACTCGCGTAATCAAGTTAATTTTAATACTTTTATCTTTTCATTTAAAATTAAAACTTTTCAAGATATTTCGTTATTTACAAAATAGATTAAAATGCTTAATGATAATGTCGACATTTAAATCGATTAATGAAGTCGTGGTTTCTAGAAGAAAACAAAAATTTTTCAAACATAAACATTCTAAATCGAATACTACATACAAGCATGAGTGTACTTATTAATAATATTGCTTTGGTTTCAACTTTCATATCTTGTGGAACTAAAAAAATAATATAAAATAAAATCGACAAGGCCAATGAACAGTCATATACTTTTTATAGCTACAGCACTTCCATATTCTGTTCTTTGTAAATCAGATGAATATGGATAAATATGTCCAATAGCTTTTGATTCATCACCGTTAAATATTAAAACTTGCAGTACTCGATGTTGAATTTTACCTTTTATATGATTTTTACGTAACGCTAAACTAGCAATATGTTCACGTCTATTATCATATACATCATACCATACTTTACCAAAAGCCAATCTACAAAAGAAAAACAGAAAGAGTAGGAAATTGAAAAAGAAAGAGACATAACATGCTTCTTTTTCGTTTAACGGACATTATTTCATGTATATAGATAACTTAGCAAAGATACAAAATGTATGAGAACTAAATAAATTTTGTCATACATTCACCTAGTTATTCAATTATAAACTCTCTATTGATATTATCTTTAAAAAATAGTATTAGTATGATGCAATTATTCACAGTTTTATAATATCGACGTATTTTATTTTTGAAATTCTTCTATGAATGAAAATTCCATTATGTATTTCTTCGATCAGAACTGTTCGTTTAACAACTAACAGTAAAATATAGAAATGACTTCTACTATATTCAAATAAATTTATGTAAAATACATCGACTATTAAAAAATACAGAAACGAACATTCGTCTAAATCTGAAAAACAAATTCAATATACTATATGCAAGGTAATTCCAAGAAAACTAAATCCGTTTTCGAAGTATTACTTCTTCTCCTCTAGAATTTAGTTTTTTTTCAATTATTTTTGTAATAGATAAAACTTCAGAAAACTAATTGGACAGAGGTATTATGATTTGTGAAGATGTGTCACTATAATACGACATAACAACAAATTCATTAAATATAGAATCGTTACTGGAACGGTATACTCTCACTGTAAAACTCTCGAAAAATGCTCAAAAACAGTTACTTTTGAGTAGAAAGGACGAAGGTCGATAAGGGCACTTTTCTTTTCAGCATGTCTCAAAAAAAGTATATCATGATAATAAATTCACTATGAATTACATCACGCATATATTTAGTCAAGTTAGTTCATGGCACTGATTACGAATATTATACTAGCTTTTGTTTAAATTATTTCGATGAGTGAAAATGTTTTTAACGTTTGAAAAAAAGTTTCAAGTATGTATTTAAGTATTTTCTATCTATGATTCAGAAATTAGAACATCTCAATATCTGAAATAGCTGATAGAACTGCACTAGAAGCAAAAAATTCTAGTCAATTGATGTGTACAACTCCTTCCGAAGTTAAGTCTCTTCGCCATTTCATCCGATTATCTTCTTAAAATAATATAGACGGGTGAAGTTTTTCATGATCTATTCAAATATGTTCTTGACAAAGAAAAAGATTTGTTCTTTTCGGATAAAATTGCTATTTACTAGTGAAAGTCAAATGCTTCAGATCATCTGTTCACAATTCTTGCATGCTGTACGTTGTTCTATATGTTTAATTGACAGAGTTAATATTTCATTCGGTAGAGGATACTCGATTACCTATACTAAATATTTTTCAAAGATTTAGACCACTGTATTAAAGTGGAAATGATTTAATAAACCAAACAGAAAGGATCGTGTTTTCTTTGATTAAGGTCAAAATATTGCATATTTCGTATCCTCACTTGTTAAAATGGTTTAACTAAAAGTTGATTGTTCAACATTGTTAACTGTTATAGTCAAAGAACTTTTGATCGCTTCCAATTAATCTGCATAGGACCTGTTAGATAATCGAGTGTTCTGTACCTAATGAAATACTAACTCTGTCAGTTAAACATATATGACAACGTACAGCATGCAAGAACTGTGACAAGATGATCTGAAACATTTGACTTTTCACTAATAAACGCAATTTTATCCGAAAAGAACAAATCTTTTTCTTTGTCAAGAACATATTTGAATAGATCATGAAAAACTTCACCTGTCTATATTATTTTAAGAAGATAATCGGATGAAATGGTGAAGTGACTTAACTTCGGAAGGAGTTGTACACATCAATTGACTAGAATTTTTTGCTTCTAGTGCAGTTCTGTCAGCTATTTCAGATATTGAGATGTCCTAATTTCTGAATCATAGATAGAAAATACTTAAATACATATTTGAAATTTGTTTTTAAACGTTTAAAGCATTATAGAAGACCGGTAATCGATCTAAAACAACAAATAGCGTGTTTATTTAACCATAACCGAGTCTCTTGAAACTTTGATATTGTCCTTCATCAAAATGATTTAGACAAAGACTAATATGATATTCGCAATCAGAGTCATCAGCTTTATATCTTGTCATATGTTGGACTCAAAACAAATAGAAAAAATAAATGTCAAGTGTGCTGTAAAGAGGAAGACATGTGAGAAACATTGCATTGTTGAACTAACGCGATTAAGTATGCGCATGTAGTGACGATGGTTGACTTATTAGCGTGATTTACTTTTTTTTCGAACAGATTTTGGAGAGAAAACTGGTCTTATTGATCCTCGTTCTCTGATGTATCCATAGAATTACTTGTATAGTCGCTATAGAAAAAAAGATTCGATCTAAAAAGTTTTGTTGTTTTTTTTTCTTTTGATAGAATAATTTTACTCTGAAAGTAATTACTTCTATACTCTTCGTTATTATGTTACATTTTGTTTCTTATAGTGAAACCAAAATTTCTAACGGTACCAATATTTTACTATTGATGGAAATTTGCTAATAATTTAAAATAATTTTTATGTTTATTTAGGCTTTAAAGATTTAGAAAGACAGCCTGAACATTTCAGACCATAATAATCGTTGATCCTGGAATTATTACAAAAGATCAAAATCTAGAAAATATGATTTCGCTTCATAAAGGATTTCATATTCAATAAATTTCTTCTTTATCTTTACTCTCGATACAATGTATTCAAAATAAAAAAGTTTCTATCTAATATTAATTTTTCAGTTCTATTTATTGTAAAAAAATCGATTCAACAACTAAATCTTATAAATGTAGAAATTACATTTCATAAATGAGATAAGTTTTTTTTGGTCACTGTGTACAGTCAATCAAATTTCCAGTAAGATCAAATTTATTCGATATGTATCTCAATGGCTTCAATTTTTGTTCGGTTCTATATTGATACAAATATAGGTATAATTATTTATTGAGCTTATTATTTTATTTATGAATAATCTGACTATAATAATATAATAATAATAATAATAGTTCCCATAGGCTTATCGCCCGTTGGGGCCAGCCGCGAAGGGTTCACCTGCAGGCGGGTTCTCTCGTCTTTTTCTTTTTACAGACGACAGTATCTGTACCCCTTTTCGTCCAACGCTGCCCCCGTTTATGATTTTTGGATTGGCGATCATCATAGAATCGCATCATCGTGATATCTATGTTGGAGTTATTTTACTCTGCATACTGACTAACGATGTAGCCAACATGCCTTCGAATGAGTCATCCGAAACAACTAGCCGTTAGTGACTTGTTCAGGGTCATCCCATGGATGGTGATACTGAGGTTTGAACACAGTACCTTGTGGATACGTGTCGAACAACGTAACTACTCAACCATGGCTGGCGGCTATAAAAAAACAGTGTCAAGGAACTGTTATGTCTTGTTTCTTTCTTTCTTTCTCTGTTATCACCGAGACAGCAACGTGATGGTATGACAACAGAACGGAACAAAAGAATAATCTCCCTTTGCATGGAATCGAGCCATGCATCTCCTGCTTTCCGGACAGTCGTATTAGCCACTGTACTAGAAAGGAGTATAATAATATACTCAATTTCAATGACTTTATTAAATAGCAATCCTTTTTAGAAAAAATTTTGAATAGATAGTATATTAATATACCTTTTCTTAATAGATCCAATTGATGCAGCATTATTGGATTGTGTTCCTAAACATCGTACATCTGGCTTAAAATGTAGTTTAGATAAGACTGGGAGATGATTTTGATAGAATTCGAGTATTACCTCAAATGATAAAATTTACTATATATAAAACAAAACAAAATAATATATATCTACTTCTTTGGTTTCGGGATTTAATAACATAATTTTTTGGCTAAATTTTAAATTTATCTTGGATGTATTCCCGTTGTCGCCTATGAATAAAAATGAATATTGTTTATAATAATAGTTTCTTATTTTTTATTCATACCAATTTGATAATAAAATAAAGTTCTATTTACTCGTGATACAATTTTTCCACATTCTCCGACTTCCATCCCAGGGCCATTCCCTTAGATAATCAAATCAATCGTGTCAAAAAATATTTAAGTTTGAAATTCTTTTACGAATCTTACCAGATTGAAAAGGTTTAACAATTAGTTCATCTTCATTACTTAATATAGACAAAAGTTTCGCTGTATCAATATCAGTAACATTTTGATTAGTTGCCATTGAATTATCTATAGTCGAAATACGACAATAATTTACTTTTTCTTTAACTTACACGTATAGACATCAATAGACAAGATAATGATCATGTAGACTCTAGTGAGAGAAAAATAAACAAAAAAAAAAGGAGGCATTCATGCATGACTTAAAATAGTCATATCTATAGCTATTGTTTGAGGAACGTGTTTTATTGAAGAAAGCTACGAAGGACTAAATTAAACCAAGTTTATTCATTTCTATAGTGGATAAATATGTGATAATATCCTGTTTATAATATTGATTGTTGTAGTAAAAAATTAAATACAGTTATTATCATCTTTACACTTGACAAAAAATTTTTTTACAAATAAGATTTGTTTATAAATATGTTCATGAATGCTTCTTGTATTAATAAGGATATTATAGCATGAAGAAAAGCAACTCTATAATATACAGAAATTTTTAATAAAAAAATTATTGTATTATTATAGTTCTTTGCTCTCGAATTCAGGTTTAATTTTTGATTTTTTTCAGTTTTGATGGTGTTTGCTCCTTTGTATTATTTTATGTACTAAAAAATATTTATTACATATTATATCTATGATAATATAGAGGCCAAGATTCGCTACAATTAATCATACTTTGAAAAGCGACAGCTATTACTAAATAGAAATGATGACTCATTTTATGCATATGTGACACTTGGCTTATCTTGAGTTTTTAAAACGTCACTACGACGTATTTCTTACATTTTTCTTGTTTGGATATGGATTCATGCATAGTGACTATCGTTTGTCATTAATGGAGATTAAATTACTTGTTCTTATTTGGGTAGTTATAAAAGACATAGAGCTTGTTTTATAAACTGAATATTCATTTATGATTATGCTGAGGATGACGACTATCCGCTAAGATGAGTCAGAAAAATAAGCAAACTTATTTATGAATGCTAGAATAACTTATTAGCGATAACCCCTTGTCAAAAGAACCTATGTATAATGTAAAGAATGTAAAGAATTACTGAGAAGTCAACAGAAACGATGAACATGTCGATATCAATACGGAAGCAGAATATAACAGTGAAGAACTTTCATTAAACAAAAGTATAGCAAACAGAACTTCGAAACAGACGAGTGAAGTTCTTCAGCTATCCCCTTCCGATTTCGACGATTTTTTGCCTATAAATACTACATAGAATTCTAATTAAACTCCTGAAAGTATTTGAGTTCCTATTGAGATTTGACTAAGCTATTGAATTTTTAACGTCTATTTTCTAGAGATCCTTCATTTTGAAAAACTCGCATTCTCGAATTTTGGTCTGAAAATTTCTATACATAGATAAATCAACTAGACTATCTTCCATAAAAAATTTAGCAGTTTTCAACAAACTCTCTTAGATGTATGAAGCGTTCACAAAATGCATTTTGTATATGTTGTCCATAAAAAAGGGTTTATATTTTTGAAAGTCTCATTTTGAAGAAGGTTCGTTCTCAACTTCTGAATGTTTTTGCTGGAAGCTAGTTTAGTTGACTTCTCTAATTATGTAAAGTTTCATATCAAGATTCAAAAAGGCGAGTTTTCCAAAAAAGTTGGCGTTTATAAACAACAGATATATTAAAAGTTCGATAGCTTAATCACAAATAGATCTATTACTAATATTATATCATTATAGTCTTTAGTGTGTTCTAGCAAACATCCAAATATGGTGGTAAAATAAAAGAAATTCATTTCATAAAAATTCATTACACACACCATTTCTCAACATCAATTTGCGACAAAAATAATATAGTTCAATGACTATTTTCTGTATGTAGCTTATTACAACTATGATTATAGCATAGATCTTCCTGAAGATAAATAGCGGCAGTCTGTATTATAAGTATACCATTACTAGAAAAACATTAAGAAAAAAATAAGTACGAATTCTAACAGCGCTCAGACTTTTTTAAACATTATGTGTATTTATGATGTAGTTTGCACTCATTCACGATCAAAATAAATCGGATGCAATGAAGGTTCTCTAATTAGCATTTGTGTGAGAAAGAATAATTTGAGTACTACGTAGGTACACTTCTTGATAATCTCTAAAACACAATAGATTATTCTACTATCTTTCTCTTTTTTTGGTTTCCAAAATTCAAAATGATTGAATAGGCGGACACTATCAAAACATATAATTACATGTTCAAAAAGTCATTTCGATACTGAGAATAAAATTGAAATAAAAAGCAAAGTGTCGGTGGACAATCCAATGTTTTTTAGTTTCTTTAGTAGGTTATCTATGTAATACTGAAATTATTCTTCAGCACACAAATGCACTACAAGACAAAAAAATATAGGACGATATAAAATTTCAAACTCTCTACGTATCTATAGTTGTTGTTCTAAAAACTTATTTTTATAGTAAATATATTTTTGTAATAAGAAGAAAAGTTACAGTTTTTTACACTTTTCAAATGAAAGTCTCTTTATTATACTCATATTATTTTTTAATAAATGAATGCAATATTCTAGGTAAATATATAGACCGATACAGAATTTCAAGGTTTATTAGAACATGTATTTACTTTTCTAAAAAACACATTCCTAATGTGATAAAAAAATGAAAACAAACTAATTTTG